ATACAAAAACCAAGGCCAAACCAAACCAAACAAAACAAAACAGCATGAGCAGGACGGAAGAATGTTGGGGCTTTGGATAACAGGTGCGATGCTGCAGTTGTGAGACATGAATAAGCTTAGTGTCTATTAGGAAATAAAGCCAGAGGGTTTCCTGATGCACTGGCCGTGTGGCATGAAGGAGAGAGAGAAATGGGGAGGCCCCATCAATTTCTGGTTTGAAAAAAGCAAATGCAGTGGGAAGACGATGTCTATTTGTAACACGGTCTACTCCACAGGGGCCAGGCGAGGTCTCCTAATGCCCAACACACTGGCATCTGTGCCTCAGGCTAATTTCCGGGCAATCTAATAACATTTCCACATGTTCTGCATGGCAAACTGTTCATACGGCTGAAGCAAAGAGGCAGTGTCCTGTGTGTGAAGTGCTTAGACTGAGTCCATTCACTAGAGCAAGTGAAAAAAAGCGAGGCTTCGGATTTGATGCAGTTCCACGCCTCTTGTAGGCAAAAATGTATGGGAACGGGGCAGGCCCAGTGGTGTCTGTGTGGCTGCCAGAGTAGAGCCGAGAAATTCACAGCAAGGCTAGTTAAAGAACTCAGCAGTTCCCGAGTCTGTATGTCAGCGGATCCTTCATGAACAAAATAGATTCCTCCCTCCAGATTTAGCTTGATAATTCTAACAACAACAGAAACAGTGACAACAAAAGGTTGGTTTAGCCCAAAACGAAAATTTTCTCCAAGTGAGGATTGTTTCTGCAGCCAGAAAACACCACCTACCTGGGGGCAAGACCGGCGACCCTTCAGCGCTCTCTGCAGGGAGAGGGTTGGGAGTTCAGTGAGTGTGAGGCCGAATGTGAGTGTAACACAGTCTCACCACCCGCCACACCCGGCCCGCGACACGGGGAGGTCTTCCACTGATGGATGCACAAGTTAGACAAATACCTGACCAGACTTTGCCCTTAACAGGAGTTGAAATAATGCCCGAAACAGCAGATCCATTCCAAAGATAGAAATATCAATGCTAGAGAATAACTGGCAATGCTCAGGACTGAAATGAAAATAAAGCTAACCCCTCTGGAAGGGACTGGCCAACACCGATTAGACTTGATTGTAAGAACAACTTAGCACCCTGGGAAGGCAGAAATGCTGACTTGATACTGTCAAATACCATCAAAATGTAGCATCTGGGAGCATATGCTGCCGAACTCAGGAGCTGTTTGCGTCCAGGGGCCCGAGCCCAGGTGGCACCTGAGGACTTGTGTCACCAGCATCTCTCCTCTTGAGTTGTGTCCTTTCATGCTCTCCTGTCTAATGCTGGGATGTGTGTAGGGGCTCTCTCTGTCCTCAGGGAAACCCGCACTTTCTTGGGTGTGTTTCTCTCTCTCTCTCTCTCTCTCTCTCTCTCTCTCTCTCTCTCGCTCTCTCCCACTTTCTCTTCCTCCTTCCCTTCAAAACCTCCAAATAAAATCTGTTTTACTTCACTGCTTGTCTATTGCTGAAATTCTCTGCGAGACAAGACAAGAACCCAGTAACCCTGGGTCCCGGGTGGCAGAGGCAGATGGGGACAAAGTGATCGTCTTTCTCCTCCCCACTTCACATAAGCGACCGGTGGGGCCCACCGACATCAACCAGAGCACACATACACATACTACACCACACATATACACACCACATACACACCACACACACCCCACACATACACCACACACTGCACCACACATATACATACCACACACACACACACACACAAAACAAAAAAAAGTAGCATCTGATCCCTCCCACCATTTACTCCATCCCCTCCATGGTGACCTAGCAACTACCTGCCCAGAAAATGAAAAATGTCAGGTGGATAAAACAAAAACATGAGCTTACCCACTTCTGGCTCCAAATACTTAGTCTCTGTCAATATATGGGAAAAGAAAAGATCTGGTTAAGAGAAGAGCAATTGCTCTAGAGATGCGTCTATTCAAAATTCTCCGAAGATGAAGGAATAATTCTGGAACTAGAAACGCTGGTTCCCCTAGCCCTGGTTTAGACCCCTTTAGATGGCCATCGAATGTAGCCTGCCCACAGGGCAGAGTCTGGCAAACTCCCCGTGGCGTACCAAATATGCCAAATACCAGTAACAATGATGGGTCTCATTCTCCTAAAGAGCCTTGAATATAACCTCAGGGCTAGGATGAAAGAGACGTTACTGGGGCCTGCTCGAGGCAATCGACGAATAACAGGATGATGAAATGAAATGAAAATGAAAGATGGCCATTGTAAGGGTGTGGGGGTTACTTATCCACACAGTGTGTCTTAGCACACATGTAGCCTCTGATTTGGGCTTGGCTATGTCTGTCTTATAGATGGAGACAGAGACAGACACGTCAGCACACTCTGGCATTAAGTGGAACCCAGTGGCTTTACCAAAAATGGCTTAGAGGGAATTCCAAACCAAAATAAAAAGGTAAAGGTAAAGGTAAAGGCCCTCCCGTTGTTCATCGATTTGCTTGAGCGGGCCCAGTAATGTCTCCATTGGAGACTTTGTTGTTACTGTGTTTGGCATATCGAACACGTCACAGGGAGCTTGCCAGGCTCTGCCGTGCGGGCGAGATACTCTCGGTAGCTTGCCGGGCTCTCCGAGAGGGGCAGAGGAATCGAACTCGGGTCGGCCATGTGGGCTGCGTGCAAGGCAAACGCCCTACCACTGTGCTATCACTCCAGCCCAAATACCACCTTAAAAATGCAAATAAAACACAGCCAAATTAAAAGTGGGAAAAAAGTAAAGGCAAAAAAAAAATCAACGAAAACACCCCATACCAATATCTGATCTGTTTAGAGTGACAAAAAATTCATCGATTACATTAATATCACATGGAGGCAATCTTTTTGATTGAAAGCAACTGGAATGTTTAACAGGTAATCGAGTGCCCTTCTCCAGATCAGAAGTTTCCGGAATTATTTGACTTACTGCTGCTCCTGTTTCAGAAACAAACAAACCAGCCCAAAGACATCGATTCCCTTGCTCCGTGGACATCTACTCTTTAAGGCAAACAGCAGGTTCCCCTCCAGCTGTGTGGCCCCCAGGGGCCATTGTCTAGTTAGGAAAACACCGCTCTGGTTCTGCTCCAGGATTTCCTGTTTCCCTTCAGCACACATATTTACATCATTAGCATAGGGAGAATTACACCAGCGTTTTTCAACCACAGGACAGCCCAGGTGGTAAACCGTATGATTGGCAGCAAGGCAGCTGGGACTGACCAGCAGAGTGTGGGACCACTGGAAAGAGGCCAAAGAAAGAAATAGTCCTGCGAAGGATGTCTTGACCACTGGTTCCCACTAATGGTCAATCTGCCCTTCCCCACAGTGAGGTTTTTCAATGTCTGAGAATATTTTGGTTGTTAAGAGTGGGTCGAGGTAGGGGATACAGCCCAGCAGCCTACAGATTAGCCCCGCCACAAAGAATTCTGTGGCCTGAACTGTGAGTGGTGCTGAGGTTGCGGAAACCCTGACAATTACTAGTTGGTCTCAAATGAGTGATCAGTAGCCACACTGGACAGGACAAAACTTGGAACTATTTTAAGTTATAAATGATTTGTTGTTCATGCCATTGCAAACTGGCACAGGAAAATAACTGTGATCTCTAAGCTGTCTACGGGGTCTGGAATTTTGGTGGGATGCACTCAGGAAGGAATGTCAGCTCACCGCTGGGTTACGCTGCTCTCTTGCTAGTCATTGGAAATCTAGACTTTGTGTTTGCAGCACAACCATCTCTCATGTTCGCTCTTTGTATCAGGCCCATGTTAACCCCTTGGGGCTGGAGGGTCCCTGAGCTCCAGCGTGTTGGATATTAACCCTAAGTGTCTTAGGCTTCATCAGTGAAATGCCCCCTTTCCTCCCTCAGAGAAGCTTACAGTGCTCTTACAAACACCCTAATCCCCCGAGTTTATCTTTAACTGTTCCTTTCTGTTTGACCTCTCATTGCCACAGTTCCCCAAGTCAGGGTTAGTTACTTATAAGTGAAAACTTCTGGTGATTCTGAACCTTGTAGTGAATTACTTGTTTTTCTATTTGCCCTATAACTTTTCGCATTTTTCTATAGAGCAATGTTCTCTGCTTGAACACAGAAAGACCTTTTTTTTTTTTTAACGCTATGCACCTAACATTTGGGAATTGATTGACTCTTAAATATATCTACTCCTGGGTATCCATCATAATTACTTGACTCAGGCTTTGGTTGCTAGAGTTCCTAACACCCACAAAAGGTGGGGGGTCCTTACTGTGGGACTTGAGTGGATCTGTAGCTAGTGGCAAAGCTACTCCAGAATCGAAACGAGACAGTCTAGAAAGCTTAAAAGCACAGTCTTGATGCAAGCCAATATAACTTAAGAGACAGGATCCCCAGGAGGAAGGAAAACCTAAATCGTCCTGAGGACTTAGTCTGGGATTTACGGTAAGAGCCTTGTTTGCCATCAGAGCCCAGAGAACTACAGTATGGAACCTGTGTCTCTTATTATGTTTATCCAAGTAACTGCAAGTATTAATAGGAAGGAAACTTAATTGTTTAATATGTACAACTAAAGGGAAAGAGAAAAGCAGTGTAGATGTCCCTGGGGAGACAAAGCATCTCCTTGAGTTAATCCCCCAAGAGAGTTGCCTCCACGAAAACATTTTACCTCTATACATGATCAATCACACCTAAGTGCAGTGCTCAAACCCCCTCAGATGTGCCGTAAGTACACCAACAGCTCTGCATGAAACGGGCCGTTTTGACCGTCTCTCTGTAAGTCCCTTTGTTCCTCCTTTGGGGAGGCCTGGGGAGGTGTCTCTCTGCCACCGGACACGTTGCCCACCCTGAACTTGAACTCACTCACACAGTGGATGTGCTCAGACGACCCCAGACCTTTGCTCTGCACCTGCCCAAGTGCTCAGAACTGGCCGTGGAAGGTGCCACTGCCCAGGAGCTTGGTGCCCAGGTCCTTGAGAAGATGCCACATCAGCGGTGGAGGTGTCTGTTACCTGAGCAGACGACACTGGCGTCTTCTCCCGTACCACAGTTATGGATGGACCAGTCCGTGTGTGGACACTGGCCCAGAAAGCTCTCTCTTCCCGTGCAGTCCACATCATCCAGCAGAAACTCGCCTTCTCCTTCACCAAATTTGGCCTCCCCGGGGGCGGCCAGAGCCCGCCCGCAGTTCAGCTGCCGGCACACCACGTCGGCTTCGTTCATGTCCCAGTGGTCATCACAAACCCTTCCCCACTGGCCTTGGTAGAAAACTTCCACGCGTCCAGAGCACCGGCCTGACCCGTTCACTAGCTGCAATTGTGGCCAGTCTTTCAAAGACACAAAAACATGGCGTGTGAGGAGAAGGGACACCTGGGGCCCTTCGGGCGAGTCACCTGCAAGTTCTTTGGAGCCTGTGCTGGGTGAGGGCAGGCAGTGTGGCGGACACTGTGGTTCAGAGAAGGACCGATCTGTGCTGACCGAGTCCAGAGTCTGGGCAGAGGGGGACTGGAGGCAGCCATCCCCATAGAGCAACATTGATTTAGAGTTGCAGTTATTCCCAGAGCTGAGGAGCAAAGCGGGAGCCCCTCAGCGTATTTGGGGACTGGACTATGGAGTGGGGAGTTTCAGGGCATCTTTTAGAAGGAAGGATATGCCAGAAGCTGGGAAAAGTAGGAGTAAGTAGACAAGAGGAATGGGACAAGGGCAGCATCTTCTGGGGTGCACTGCACTAGCTGATGAGTGAGATGGATGCCGAGCGATCTCCCTCCAGACAAATCAGTTTTAGTAGTATTTGTGGTGGGGGACCCACTCTGCCATTGAGAAGCATATGGTCCACCAGACCACCTCCAATGAGAGGTACAAAATCTAAACTTACCCCCAGGAAATGGTGTCAGGGCTTCCGCATCTAAGAGCAAAGAGAATGAAGCATTATTGCAAAGGGAAAGTAACCCCTCTACCCCCTTTTGTCAGGGATCAGTGTGTGGATGGGGCAGTCTTTTTTTTTTTTGCTTTTTTTGGGGTCACACACAGCGATGCACAGGGGTTACTCCTGGCCCATGCACTCAGGAATTACTCCTGGAAGTACTCAGGGGACCATATGGGATGCTGGGAATCGAACCCAGGTCGACCGCGTGCAAGGCAAATGCCCTACCCGCTGTGCTATCGCTCCAACTCCGGATGGGGCAGTCTTTATGGGTAGATATGGAGGCAGCATGCTTTGGGGAATTGATTCAGTTCTATCTTTCTGATCAATGGCCGGTGAGGAAGGGATTGTGCCTTTGAGCTGCTCCGAGTCACACATGTTGCCCGTGGGACACACCTTCAGCCCAAGAGGCAAAATGAGGTGTGCTTCTCTGGGACTCAGAGGACTGGGGAAGGAACATGTGGGAACATTTGTCTGATCTGGGCAAAGAGGAAAGGGTGTGCGTCTCCCCATCCATCTCTGAGTTTGTGTAACGACTCAGAGAGACAGTGTCCTGAGACTACGTACACCTCCTGCCTGCATGCAGGTACTGCTTTGGTCCAGTTTGAGTCCAATGACCTCTTTGAACGGAATCCCATTCAGATCCTCATTCCAAATTTTTCCAAAAATGTATTCGGGCAATAAGAACAGAAATTGAAGGGAAAAAGTATCTCTTATTTCGTTAAAAGGCAGGGAAGCAACCTGGGTGCTTGCTTCTTCCTTTCTTCTGCAAATGCTTTGGGTTAAATCCTTTGGTCCCCTCCTGACTCCTCCTATCGGCTGTGCCATCAGATGCCCTCAGAGTGGAGGCATCGTCCATGCTCTGATACTCACCCAGAGCGCCTGAAGCTTCAGATTCAGATTCTACAAGAAAGCAGAGAGAGTCGGATGTAACTAGAGTCTGTTAGAGTTGAGAAAATTTCCAGAGTATCTTGTCCTTGTTAGGAGGGTCAATAATTGTTCCTCTGTGATAAAGGTGTATTGGAATTGGTCTTAGGTTATTCCCAAAGGACTCAAGGAAGGAAGTATAGCTGGAGGCTTTTTAGTATTTATTCAAAGACAGGCATCTCAGTCTGAATTCGGGACGAGCCAGAACCCAGAGCACTGACCTAAGGTTTGTTTATCTAAAAGTGGGGGTTATGGACCACTTAGGGTCCAACCCATACATCCATCAAGGGACCAATATGTAGTTTTTTTTTTCCAATGTGCAGTTACTGTCACTGTCCTCCCGTTGTTCATCGATTTGCTTGAGCGGGCCCAGTAACATCTCCATCATGAGACTTTGTTGTTACTGTGTTTGGCATATCGAATATGTCATGGGTAGCTTGCCAGGCTCTGCCGTGCGGGCGAGATAGTCTCTGTAGCTTGCTGGGCTCTCCGAGAGGGGTGGAGGAACTGAACTCGGTCGGCCATGTTGGCTGCCCAATGTGTAGTATTTTAAAAAAATTATTTCGGGGCTGGAGCTATAGCATAGCAGGTAGGGCGTTTGCCTTGCACTCAGCCAACCCCAATGGATCCTCAGCATCCCATATGGTCCCCCGAGCACCACTGGGAATAATTCCTGAGTGCAAAGCCAGGAATAACCCCTGAGCATTGCCAGGTGTGACCCAAAAAGCCAAAAAAAATTATTTCATATTTATGTCACTTCCTACCGTCTTCCAATTCAACATTAAGCATAGACTGTGTTTCTGATAAACCCATACTGTTGCTTAAACAAGAAAACTGTTGAACAAGAAAACTAGTGAAACCTGCTAGTTCTCCTTAACAGTGCTGTAAACTTTGGTGCCTAATATAAAAATGAAAATATGTAGTGAACATAAATCATGATTTTTAAAATCAAGTTAATTTTATTAAGAATTTATCTTATATTAAAATAAACATCGCCTTATAATGGGAAGGAAAACTCCGTGTGATTTCTTAATTTTTAGGTGAAAGCATTTCAGGTAGAGAATGGGTTTACATCTGGTAACTCTGGACTCTGCTGGCAGGAGTATCTGAGAAAGCACAGAGCCGATGGTGCCTTTAACAATCCTTTTCTCAGGCATCTGGTCAATTCACCTCCCCAATGAACATTCATGAACCTTCTATCAATATGGAGGCTAGGGGGCAGGAGTGTGGAAGGCGTGAGAGAAGTCATGTGAATTTGGAGGATGGGTCTGCAGGTTCTGTCAATGAATCAGGGTAGCTGTGTGGGGTCTTCTCGGGTGCATGTTGGGGGTCCTATAGCGGTGGAGAGGAGCCAGGCTTTGAGAAGGGCCGAGCTCCAGACAGCTGCAAAGTTTCCCTGGACCTAGGTGGTCATTCTCAGGTGCCGGGAGGCTCAGGGCACTGAGCACCAGGGAAGAAACCCAGAGCCTGACAGCCTGTGGCTTCCTGCTCTTGTTTCTGGAGTCCTTGGTTGTAAAATAGTGTCCTGCAACACGTCTGCATTTGGTTTGCAAGCAACAGGTGGGCTGATGGACACAAGGGCAGGTCAAGGCTGGACAACTCCCTGGGTCTGTTTCGAGGCCAGCTCTCTGGCCAAAGCTTTCCAGAGGGTCTATATCCCTGGGCTTTGAAAACAGGACATTCTAGGGGGACAATAAAGACTCAGTAAATTAGTCAGAAGCCCTTATTTGAAAGCAAGCAGAGTTGAAGAGTTAGAGCCATCAAAATGAGTTGGCGAGGGCCCAGTCCGAGGAAGGTTCTGGAGAAAACAAGATTGAGACTGAGAGAGGAGCTTGAGACACCTTCTCCACTCACGAGTCAATTCGGAATTAACTAACTGGAGACAAACTATTTAGTTTTCTTAGAAATTAATATTAGTGGTTAAGTTAATAAGTGCTTATTCAAATGAACAGATTCAAATATCTGGATATCTGGATTCTGAATCAGGCTTTTCTTCCTTCTTTCCTTCCTTCCTTCCTTCCTTCCTTCCTTCCTTCCTTCCTTCCTTCCTTTCTTTCTTTTTTTGACTTTTTGGATCATACCTAGCAATACACAGGGGTTACTCCTGACTCTGCACTCAGGATTTACTCCTGGCGGTACTCAGGGATGCTGGGAATCGAACCCGCGTAGGCCACATGCAAGGCTAATGCCCTACCCGCTGTGCTATCGCTCCAGCCCTGAGCCAGGCTTGGACAGGACTGGCAGATGGCAGATGGGTCAGGCTGGGAGCTTCTGGGGTGACAATGGTGGGGGGCGTGTTGAGCGACCCTAGGCCCTTGCTTTAAGGCTGCACATTTACGTTTGTTTTGTTTTGTTTTGGGGGCCCTACCCAGCGATGCTCAGGGCTTACCCCTGTCTCTGTGCTCAGGGATCACTTGGCAAGGAGAGGGGGAAGCCACAGAGGATGTCAGGGATCGAACCCGGGCAGGCCGCAAGCAAGGCAAATGCCCGGCCCCTGTGCTATTGCTCTGACCACACCTTTATGTCTTTTTTTTTTCTCCCATTTTGGGTCACACCTGGCGATACTCAGGGGCTACTCCTGGGTCTGTACTCAGAAATTACTCCTGGTAGTGCTCAGGGAAACATATGGGATGCTGGGAACCAAACCCGGGTCAGCCTCGTGCAAGGCAAACGCCCTACCCGCTGTGCTATCACTCCAGCCCCACCTTTATGTCTTGAAGTGATAATCCTTAACAAATTATTTACTGGCCTTAAGAATTATCGGAGGGCTGGAGCGATAGCACAGCAGGTAGGGCGTTTGCCTTGCACGCGATCAACCTGGCCGACCCAGGTTCGATTCCTCCACCCCTCTTGGAGAGCCTGACAAGCTACCAAGAGTATCTCGCCCGCACAGCAAAGCCTGGCAAGCTCCTCATGACGTATTTGATATGCCAAACACAGTCACAATAAGTCTCACAATGTTACTGGGCCCGCTCGAGCAAAATCGATGAACAATGGGAGGATAGTGACAGTGACAGAATTATCGGACAATGGGGCGCTCAGGCTCACTGTGACTGGGACCACACGACATCCAGTTGCCTGGGTCCTTTCTGGCCAACCTAGCACTCTCCCACGTGGCAGCCTCTGCTTCTCTAACGAGAGCAGAGCAGGAAGTTGAGGGGGCCCAGACGGGTCGGGGAGAAACTGAGGCAATCGATGCTGGGAGGAGGGGGCCGGGAAGGCGGCTCTCAGAGAGGCGACATTTACCCGAGCAGATGACGCCCGCGTCCTCCGTGTGCCCGCAGTTGTGGGAGAACCAGCCGGCGTGGGAGCACTGGCCCAGGTAGGCCTCGGTGCCCGAGCACTGCACGTTGTCCAGGAGGATGGGCCCGGAGCCCGGGCCGAAGTGGGCGTCCCCGGGCGCGGACACGGCCGTTCCGCAGCCCAGCTGCCGGCACACCACCTGCGCCTCCGTCTCGTCCCACAGGTCGTCGCAGACCGTGCACCACTCGCCTTCAAAATACACCTCCACACGGCCAGAGCACCTTCCAGAACCTTCCAGCAGCTTCACGGGCAGCCAGTCTTCGAGAGGAAGGCAGCCCCCAGGACCCCCACCAAAGTGTGGGTGAGTGGAGCCGTCCTCCCCTCGACCACGGTCACTAGGGGTGATTCCTACCAGTCCTGGGGTCGCTGTGTTCCGGAGCCCAGGCCAGACCGTGGGCCGGGGCGCGTCCTGCAGGGGCAGCCCTGTGACTACCGGGGGCGACTGAGCCCGTCTTCCCTGGGACAGGCACAGACAGTGCAGCCACCTTTGCGGTTGGAGACACGTCTGATGGGGGTCAGTGAGGACCCCCAGCCCACTCCCAAGGCTCACCCCCTCTCCCTCGGGATCTCCCCGTGGTACTGCTAATCCCTCCACTCCAGTCTGTCTCAGGTGGGCGGGGGGAAGGGGGAACCTCCGGCTTGGCTCTGTCATGGGAAGCGCGTCCTGTGGGGTCCTCAGCTCAGAAGGGAGGAGACTCGGGCAGGGTGCTTGGGCGGCCCGTGAGTTTGGAGCTGGACTACCCACAGCCCCACCAGCACGCAAGTGCGTGACGGGACACGGGCTTGCAGGCTCACCGCCACCGTCTCAGGGACAGGGCTCAGAGCTCGGCCACGGGGCACCTCCCGGCAGGTTTCTCACTCAGTTCTGCCCGCTCCTAAGTGCCGCGGCACATGTGCTCACCGGACCCCTCCACCCCTGCCTGTGCCAAACATGCACTGGCTCCCTGATGCTCACTGGGTCCAGGGCCCTGGGAGCCCGGCCCCTGGGGCTGCCCCTGCCAGCTCCTCATCACCTAGTCCCTGTGGCATGCAGGAGGCTGAGCTGCTCCCATCCCCTCGGGGGCCCTGGGCAGGGCAGGCCCCTTCCTCCCCCTCCCCTGCTCAGGCCTCAGCTCGGCTGCTCACAGTGTGGCCCTCACGGGAGCCAGAGCACATCCCTGATCCCGTCCCACAGGGGAGGGGGCTTGTGCAGTAGCGCCTGGGCGACCTGCTGTGCACCCCAGCACTTGAGGATGCCCACGGGAGGCCCTCGTGTGGGTCACCAACAAGGAAGGACGGTGACATCGGGCAGGGAAAGGAGCAGTGTGCCTGCCAGTGGGGCTCATCCCCGGGGCGCTTCTGGCCGCCTCTGCCTACCCCTACCCTGCCCTGTGCCCCCGCCCCTCTCACCATCCCCACCCCACTAGGCCCAGGGCAAGCCTGGTCCTGACTCACCATCTCGCTGTTCCAGGGCTGGGCCGGCCGCGGACTTCATGAAGAGCTGCGGGTGCCCCTTCTGAGGCCGCTCCTTGCCGTGCCTCCTGGAGCAACCTGGGAGGCACCAGCCGTTAGAGGGGGCTCGGGGCCAGGGCAGAGACCACCTCCCGGAACCCCACCCCCACCCCCGGCACTCGGCCCAGCACCTGAGCGCAGCTTCCCTGACTCAGTGTAGGAGGCCCGGAGCCTGAATGTGGAACCATCGAGGGTCCGCGGCTGTTAGGTCGCCGTCGCCCTCAGCTCCTGCCTGGGGAATGTGGGTGCTGGCCCTCTGCCTCTGTCCCTACTCGGCGTAGTTTATGACGCAGCTTCGGGTGATTTTGGAGGATGTTAAAGGGTTTTTCTTAACAAAGCTACGGTCTGCACATCAAGTCAATTGCCTTTCAAGACTGAGTGTGGGAGGCCATTCCCGTGGGGCTGGGAGCCAGATGCGTGTCAGAAACCCCAGCCAGGAGACCCAGCCCAGAGACCCAACCCAGAGACCCAGACCAGAGACCCGGCCCAGAGACCCAGCCCAGAGACCCAACCTAGAGACCCTGCCTAGACCAAATCCAGAGACCCAGCCCAGAGACTCAGCCCAGAGGCCCGGCCCAGAGGCCCGGCCTAGAGACCCGGCCCAGAGACCCGACCCAGAGACCCGGTCCAGAGACCCAACCCAGAGACCCGGCCCAGAGACCCAACCCAGAGACCCAACCCAGAGACCCAGCCCAGAGACCCATCCCAGAGACTCAGCCCAGAGACCCATCCCAGGGGCCCAGCCCAGAGACCCGGCCCAGAGACACGGCCCAGAGACCCAACCCAGAGAACCTTCCCAGAGACCCAACCCAGACACCCGGCCTAGAGACCCATCCAAGAGATTCAACCCAGAGACCCATCCCAGAGACCCAACCCAGAGACCCAACCCAATGCCTCTCGCATGCCAGACTGATGCTCTCTCCCTTGAAAAACACCCCCAGCTTTTAGAAAACAATGTTTTCAGTAATCTCTTGAGTTTGTATTTGTTCATTTTTCCTCTTTTGGGTTTTTTTATGTCTTTTTGTTGTTGTTGTTGAAGATTTTCTTGCTGGCTCAGGTGACTCTTGATGACTGGCCTTTCCTCTAACGTCTTCGCCTTTGGGGTGCCTGGTCAGGGCTGAAGCCCAGGGGCGTCCTCAGAAACACAGCAGCCTCCTCCTCCCTCACCCTCTCAGCAGGGCCGGGGACTTGGGGCTGAGGCCCGTCCTCAGCGCCATCGGCCTTTATGCCACGGGCAAAGCATAAAGCATAAAGCATAAAGCAGACACTTTCTCGCACTCTTGTCCAACCCCCCTCACCCTACCTTGGCCTGGGGCGTCTTGAACCACCTGTCTCGAACCCTTTCTCCAGACCCTGCCCCGCTGAGCTTCTGTTGTCTGTGGGTATAGGCCCGGGTGTCAGCCGCCACCATCAGACTCACAGCTCTCCCTGGGCACCCAGACCTCAACCCCTAACCTTGAGTGGAGAGCGGGGGCTGCGTCCCGCCCCTGAGACCTGCAGGGGAGCCCCTCCAGATAACCAAGGGTGGGACTGGCCCTCAAGGCTGGCAGCCGAGCACCCCAACCCAAAGGAGCAGGAGAGCCTGTGGGGGTAGGGAGTGGGTTTGAGAGGCCTCCTGTGTGCCTACAGTGGGCTTTGCCGGGAGCAGCGTTCAGAGCTCTCCTGGGATTTACAAAATGGCCCTTCACTCCTCAATCCTGAATGAAGAGCAAGATGATGCAGACACAGCACTAAGACCCCCCCACCCCCAACCCTCTCCCCTGTTCTGAGACTCCCCACCCCTCTCCCCTGCACTGAGGCCCTCCACCCCTCTCTCCTTCATTGAGACCCCACATCCCTCTCTCCTGCACTGAGGCCCGCCACCCCTCTCTCCTTCACTGAGACTCCCCACCCCTCTCCCCTGCACTGAGACCCCCACCCCTCTCCCCTTCACCGAGACCCCCCCACCCCTCTCTCCTGCACTGAGGCCCGCCACCCCTCTCTTCTTCACTGAGACTCCCCACTTCTCTCCCCTGCACTGAGGCCCTCCATCCCTTTCCCCTGCGCTGAGACTCCCTACCCCTCTCCCCTACACTGAGGCCCTCCACCCTTCTCTCCTGCACTGAGACTTCACACCCCTCTATCCTGCACTAATACCCCCACCCCTCTCCCCTGCTCTGAGACTCCCTACCCCTCTCCCCAGCACTGAGGCCCTCTCCCCTGCTCTGAGACTCCCCACCCCTCTCCCTTTTACTGAGTCCCCCACCTCTCTCCCTTGCACTGAGACCCCCACTCCTCTCCCCTTCCCCGAAAACCCCCACCCTCTCCCCTGCACTGAGGCCCGCCACCCCTCTCTCCTTCACTGAGACTCCCCACCCCTCTTTCCTTTACTGAGCTCCCCACCCTTCTCCTATGCACTGAGACCTCCCACCCCTCTCCCCTGCTTTTGCTCCCACCCCTCCTCCCCAATCCCTCCCAGGGCTTGTAGCTGCTCTCAGCCCCCCAAACCACACCCCTGCTGTAGAGACACCTGGGGAGTTGGGGGAGGGTCTTCTCCCAGAGGGGCAGTGGGTTAAAAGGAGAGTCAGTAGGTTGACTTCAAGGAGCCCGGAGGGACAGAAGCCAGGAGGTGGTGGGGAAGGAGAGAGCCTCACGGGGCCGGGGGTGGGAAGGTGGAGGAAAGTGGGGAGAGAATCTGGTTGGTGTGAGTGTGAGTGTGTGCATGTGTGGGGGAGGGCTGCTCTTAGCACAGCCTGAGGCGGTGGGTACTGAGACTCCCCGCATGAACAAGGATAGGGAAGTGGGCCCAGTTGTGCTCTGGTCCAGGCCTGGGTCTGGGAACAATAGAGGCAGGGCCCAGGAGACAGAAGGCAGGAGGGGGGCAGAGTCCACAGAGGCACTGACCCCCCACAACCGGATCCTTATCACCAGGATCTTCCAACTGTTTAACTGGGATTAGTGGTCAGATAAGGCTCAGCAGGAAGCAACCAGTTTCAGAAACAGCCCCCTTTCTCCTGTGGGCACAACTGCCCTTTGTTCAAGGTCTGGTGAGCTCCCCAGTCCCATGGTCCCTGGCAGGCCACCCCACCCCCTGGGGGTCAGCGAGGCACGCCGGGGTGAGGCTGTACGTCTGGGTAGGGGTTTCCAGGTCTCACTGGCCTCCTCATCTGGAAGGTTCTTGAGCATGGAGCTGGAAGCGACTCCACAGCTGATGTGTCCCTAACCCCCATGCTATAACTGTTTGTAAATGGGGGGACACACACAGGGGATTGTGGACAGAAGGGCTGGAGGGGTGGAGGAACCCGCGGCTTCCTGAGCAAACAGCCCCGTGGGCACTGGCATTTGCACCTGCAGGGCGCATTGGTCCTCTGGGCCTCTCACGTGCCCTAGACGCGCTGTTGCCCCAGGAACTGCCTGGAGTCCCGAGCCTTTAGGAAGAGAGGGCCCGTGAGCCTACAGCCGGCAGTGGGCAGGCCCCTTGCTTGTTGGGTTGCTTCCCCATCATTTACTCAGACCATTGATGGAGCTGAGATGGGTCCAGAGAAACCCCTGAGTGTCCTTGGCTGGCACAGGAAGCTGGGATTTGTGAGGTATTTGCAAGCTTGAAGGAAGGTAGGCTAGAGCCAGGACAAAGCGTTGAAAGTCGCAACGATGGTCCAAATGGCCCGCTCGGTGTGAACACTCTGCTTGTCTCTGCTTTTCCACTGGGACTTTTCTCAGGAATGGGGAGAGGAGGTAGGATACGGCTGAACCCTTCCTAGAGACCAGGCTCTGTCATTCCCAGCACCAAGCAAGGCTTAGCAAGGCGAAGTTTCCAGAAAAAAAACACTGTACTTCCTGGAGGTGTTTTTCCAGCTTCCCCAAATCTTGAAACTCAGTTATGCCAGAGTCGGGTTCATCTTTGCTTTTCCTCCCCCACAACTATCCTTCCTTTTCTCTGCACACCTGACTCCAGAGAGACTAACCCACAGGACATTTCTGAGTAGCAATATACTTTCCCGATTATTCCAGTGTCACCACCATATCTTGGATGACACCCCTAGAGCCTAGACTTGGATGCTTTCAGCACCCACTAAGTCAGCACCACCTTTGCCACAAGTGGAATGAATATGGTGAATTTGAATCTTAAATTCTTTTAGAAATTTCCAGAATTTATACAGATACCGTGCTGGAGTGATAGCACAGCGGTAGGGCGTTTGCCTTGCGCGCAGCCAGCCCGACTGAGCCGGGTTCGATTCCTCCACCCCTCTCGGAGAGCCCAGCAAGCTACCGAGAGTATCTCGCCCGCACAGCAAAGCCTGGCAAGCTCCCCGTGACGTATTCGATATGCCAAACCCAGTAACAACAAGTCTCACAATGGAGACGTTACTGGGCCCGCTCGAGCAAATCGATGAATAATGGGAGGACAGTGTTTGTGTACAGATACCATGCATTTCCCAAAAGACTCGGTAGAATTCACAAATGAGCAGGGAACACACCTGCATGGCATCATTTAGGAAAGAAAGAGCTCCAATCCTGCCACAGGTGATGCAAATATGGAATCCAATGCTTGAGACCTTTGCCTGACGGGTGAGGGGGGAAAACAGTTGGGTTTCCAGGGGATCAGATAAAAATCTCATCACATAAATATAATTCCTTCCATCTCTTAGGATTTAGGTTTAGAACGTACAGTTCTTGTGTGTTTTATCAGTAATAGTTTCACTGAGATCATTCACATGCTATGCAACCTCACCAATTTAAATGACACAATTTAAGGGGTTTAACTATTGTCACTTTCAGTTTTACATTTTTATCACCCCTCCTCCCAAAAAGAAAACCAGGGTCCAGAGAGATAGCTCAATGGGTGGAGAAGATGTGTTTCACGGGGAAGGCTGGACTTGATCCTGAGGCATCACCAGGGGTAACCCCCAAGCATCAGGTCAGGAGTATCCTCTGAGCAACACTGGGTGTGACGCAAAAATGATCAGTTCTTGGGGCCGGAGCAATAGCACAGCAGGTAGGGCGTTTGCCTTGCATGCGGCCAACCCAGGTTCGATTCCCAGCATCCCATATGCCATATCCCGAGCACTGCCAGGAGTGATTCCTGAGTGCAAAGCCAGGAGTAACCCCTGAGCATCGCCGGGTGTGTCTCAAAAAGCAAAAAAAAAAAAAAAAAAGATCAGTTCTGAACCTGTGCATTCATTTCACCCTCCCCCAACACTAGCAACCACTAAAACATTATCTGTGATTTACCTATATACTTGATAGAAATGGCATTGTTGTTACTGTGTTTGGCATATCGAATACGTCACGGGGAGCTTGCCAGGCTCTGCCGTGTGGGCGAGATACTCTCGGTAGCTTGCCGGGCATTGTATACCATCAAACCTGGAATGTACAGTTTCTATATTGAGTTGACCTTGACCGACGCCTCTTCCGAGTAAATTACAAATATGACTTCACTAGATTCCCCGACAACCCAACAAATCACCCCCTTTGACGTGAAGGGAGATGTCACGGAGCCACAAAGCCTGCCACACTCACCTGGACAGGTGGGATTGGCTGAGTCACCTGAAGTTTTGTGGCCCTAAAGCCACATGTTATTGGACTTGGAGCTTCACACACAAGACTCACAAAGGACTCAAGAAATCTTTTCAATCCTTACCACCTATTTTAATAAATATGTCTAAGATGCTGACATAACCATACCTATGCGACCACTTGCAGAATATGAAAAAGTTTGAGTAAAAATTACAAACAAACGTTACGCCAAAATTGGGGGGTGATATTTTTCTTGAGTCAGCTGCAAATATCACATTAAAGATCTTGTTGACCAAGAATATTTCCGAGTTTTCCTTTGTTGATATTAGAGGAAACTCAGTGACAAAGGATTTGAATGTTTCCCTCGACATGTTGAAAAAACATTGACATGATATACAGATATTTTAAATTTCTCTAGTGACCATTTAAATTATATTTCTTAAAGAAGATGAGATGTGGAATACAGATTCAGACCAAGACCAAATAAATCTGTTTTTACAGGAACATACACATTGTCAGATTAGACGACTTCATGAACCCAACCAAGATAGTTTTATGTCAAGTCAAATAATTCAGGCCAAGATCTGTGTTTTCCTGTGTACTTTAAAACTCTAGCAAGAAGGAATAAAGATTCAAAATAGGGCTGGAGAGATTGTACAGGATTTATGTTGTGCAGCCAACTCTGGTTTGATACCTAGTACCTCATAAGGTCCCCCTGACACTGCCAGGAGCGATACCTGAGCAGAGTCAGGAATAACCCCTGAGTACTGCTGGGTGTGTAGTCAAACAAAAGTCAAACAAAAGTCAAATGAAGATGAAAACCAAGAAATCATGATAATACTTGAATACCTTTCATGCTAAATGACAATATATAACTCAGAGAGAACATTTTTAAACTCTTGCTTTACTTAACCCATAGCCAAGTAATCTTTCTTTATCTACCGCTCTCTAAAATCCTAAACACAGAACCATGTTTTTAGAAAGCTATAAATTAGGGCCAGAAAGATAATACAGGGGTTAAGGCACTTGCCTTGTAAGAGGCCAACCCTTGTTCAGGAGTAAACGCTGAACACGTTCAGATATAGCTCTCAAACAAAAAGCAAACAAAAAAGCAACAAATTGGCTCAAACCATGTTCACTCAAAACATTGGACCCAGCTTCCCCCCCAGTCCATATTGATTTATGCATTTGACGGTTGTCAGAATAACACATGACCAGTAGCTGCACCCTATTGAATGCAGTGAAAACTCTTTCAGTGTGGCGTTTTAAAAGGCAAAGTTTGAAACTCTCTTTTCATGCAGTATGCCAGCCTCCTCAGGCTTGCAACAGTGAGCAACATGGCCCTGGGGTCTCAGCAGCCATACCTGCTTCATGGAGAATAGCGGTGTAGAAGAGAGACAGCCAGAGGAGCAGGGCTCGACCGCCCATGTTGGGAAGGCGTCCAACGGCTGGAAAAGACAGTTCCGCCTTTATATGCTCTCCAGGCTCCCGGGGGGTGGCTCCTGCAATCTGATGCTCCCTTCAGCCTGGGATTGGCACAGGTCCTCAGAGCAAGGCACCAGGGCTGGCTCGGGCATTTTGTGTCATTTTTGCTATGGGTGGCTCCAGACAGGGGAATCTGGGAGCAGGGACCAACGGTGGGCTGACACTTGGCTCGTGGGTGGGACCCTCCTGTCTCTCAGGAGAGGAGAGAGGCCACCAGATCCTTCTGTCCTATTAATGGCACATTTGCTCGGCGGGTGGTACTTCCTGGAGGGAGTAACTGCTGAATCCACCCTCGTCAGCGCCCACACCAGCCTCCCTTGTCTTCTCCACTCTCTTCTTGACGTTCTTGAATTTCCAACGGCGCCCACTTGGTGCCTCTCTTGTATTACCTGATCCTTCTGCCTTCATTTCACTCATTAGGGTTTTAACCTTTCCCCACTAGTGCGAAAACCCTTTGAGGTCAGGACTTTGCGCTACTTTATTTATTTATTATTACCATTATGAGTTTTGGGGGCACTCCTGGCAATGCTCAGGGGTCACTCCTGGCTCCGCACTCAGGAATTACTCCTGATGTTGCGCAGGGGAGCTTATGGGGTGCCAGAGATGGAACCGGGGTCAGCTGCAAGCACCCTCCCCACTGTCCTATGTCTCCAGACCAGCTCCACATCGTCTATACTCCTACTTGTGAGAGCTGACTCTGAAATATCTGTTGGGCTGGATTTCACGGTGGGTGTTTCCTTAACTTAGACCACTGGCTTATAGAAACAGATGCCCAGAATTCTAGAGTTCTCTGCTCTGAGTCCTGAGAAAGGAGAGTTGTTTTGTTTTGTTTTGGATTTGCTTTGTTTTGGGCATGGGGGGGGGGGGGCACACCCGGTGATGCTCAGGACTAACTCCTGGTTCTGTACTCAGAGATCACTCTTGAAAGACTTGGGATGTTGGGGATTGACCCTGGGTTATCTGCGTGTAAGGCAGGCACCTTCGCTGCATTCCTATTGTTCTGGCCCCGTGGGAGAGAAAAGTTTTCGGAGAGAGAATACAGCTCTTCTGCCCGTCTCCAGCTTCGCATCCACGAAGGAGGAGTTTGGAGATACTGCAAGTCTGCGTTGTGAGAGCTCTTGGCCTAATGCATTGGTTATTCTGGTCCACAGGAATAGCCCCTCTAGTAAAGAAATCCAAAGATGCGGGGAGGTAAAGCACTTACCTCACATTGTCAACCCAGATTTAATGCTTGGCACCTCTTATGGTTCCCTAAGTTCCCTACAGGAGTGATCCCTGAGTGCAGAGCCAGGAGTAAGCCCCAAGCATTGCCAGGTGTGGCCTCAAATACAAAACAACACAAAACTAAAACTCGAAAGATGGACCAATCTTG